AGATTTTGCTCCATATTGTTCACTGTTTGCTGATGCCAATAATGTTCATCTAGTAATTATAACTTCATACAATATTAAATATGAATAATGTATGAAGTATCCAGATATGGAAAAATCTTTCCTGCAGACTAATGTAATAAAATATTTGCAGGGCAAATAAAATTTTGTTTTTTTGTCCAGAGTTAAAAATAATATTTAAAGAGGAGAAAAGACAAATATTTTTTTAATGTTACTGTATAAAAATCTTAATGCTGTGAAAATAATAGATTTAACAATTTTTTTTTCCAGTCCTTTATAATATTCATACAGTCAAGGAGGCATTAGGTATATTTGTGATGCAGAGCATTTCAATAACTGTTCAGTATTTTTGTTCATTAACAAAGAACTTTTGATAAGAAATTTATCATACCAATTTGGAAGGGGTTATTAAAAAAAACATTTTTTGTTAGGTATTGAAAGAAATATTTTTAAGCTACAAACTTTTAAAATCCAATTCAAAAATCCAATTCACAAGGATTTGTTTATTTCTAGGATGCATTTATTTTGTATATGACAAATGTACATGTATTTACTGTATGTCAGGTTTAGTTTGCTAAATGACCTATGTTTGTGTTATTTATTAATTATGGATGTAGTTTGTAACATTAAGTTGCCATCTCAGAGCACCACATTTCTTGTATAAAAATAATACAAAACCTGTTCCAAATGCAAATATATTCCCCTTTCTAAATGTCAGATGCCAAGGTACATAATTTACCATCTAATGGAAAATATCATTATACATGCTGGAGGATGGTGGGGATACAATAATATTATCAGAACTTGGACTCACAGAAATACAAAGTTTGTCTTTACTGCTTTATATTACCTTACATATTAATCACCTGTTTAAAAAATACAATGTATTTCTGTTTCTTTTTATTGAGAATGAGTGACTATATTGCTTTTTGTTGGTATGTTGCAGTCATTATGAGAAAACAAAAGTTAATGTTGACTTTGGCAGTGAGAAAAACACTTAAAAGGAAAGGAAATACCTTGCATATATTGGAATAGGTTGTTTTGTTGTTATTTCTGAATGTGCTGCTTCATAATAGAGTGCTATGCAAAGCTGTTTTTTTTTTTTTGGTTAACTTGAATGAATGTTGTTGTGGGCAGCAAATTTGCCCAAGAGAATTTGTTTGATTCTATTACTACCATTCCTATGAAAATCATCTGGAATACATCCATTTATATATTTCATGTACACCAAGGAGGAAGTCAGTAAATGATAGCTATGAAAATGTGTTGACCTTTTATTGTTGTCTCTGTCTAGTAGGTTTAAAAATTGACATTCCCATATTTGTTCACATGACTGGATTATATTTGTAAACATTGCTGCCTTAAGCAGATGTCACTTGGAAGAGATAAACCTGACCTAAAAAAAAACAGATGTTGCTTAAAAGAAGTTTATTTCTGCAATCTTCTATAAGGGACCAACAAATTTGATGTTTTAAAATTTCAACTGTTAAATAGGTGCCAATAAAGACAGATTTAACTACATATATACATAACATTCATACATACTTGCTTCCAGTTCTTCCTTGCTAATATGCTCTGAGAAAATTCTGAGAAAAATGTTTTGGAATATATATATTACCTACTAGGCATGGCTAGTCATGGAAAAAACATTTCCTGTATTACTATATCTTTGAATCCATCCATGCATGTTTAGATGATTCAGCAAGAGCACATTAATTTACATGCAAATGAATGATGCAAAATGCACATTACAGCTGATAAATGAACAAATATACTGCATCTAGAAATGTACACCAAGATAAAAAAAAAAAGAAGAAAGGATAACAGTGCAGGGGATCGCATGTAATGGGGAATTAATAAAAATGAATGCATCAAAATGACGGTGAACAGTGCATAGGTGCTTGCTGACTTGTCGATATTTACAAACTTGATATATGCTTTGTTATTTCTTGTCAGAGCATTGGTGTCCTATGTGTAGGATGTATTGAATATTATTTACATGACATACTGTTTAATTCTTAAAAGGGAAAATAGTGATTTCTTGATTTACCAAAGAAATATTATTCTAGCGTGCCTGCTATCTCAGCAGCGTTGTATATTTCTTATCTTTGTACAAGACTCGGTCAGATTGTGAAAATAACTCAAATTATTGTTTGGTAGAGGGACAAAGAATGTTTGAGAGACAAATGTTATTCAAACACTGTTTTCTTATCATTACACAGAAAAGTATAAGGATATAAATATAATAACACGTGGAATACTAGTTTAAAATAGCGTAGTATTAGAGGAGTACTACGCACATGTTTTATCATTCTGTTAACTTAAAGTGCGAGTACTTTCATTTACTTAATTGTTTTTAGTGAGCTAGTCATTCATTAAGTTATACTTCTGATCAGGGCAGGTTCAGATTACACTCAGGAAAGTAAAATTTGTCTATAAATTGAGGAAATAGTCGTAGCTTAGGTTAGTTGTACATGAAAAGAACGTTTATCTGACGATGCAAGGTCGCTGTCAAAAGTATGTGGGCACAGGTAATTCTTTGAGATGTACTTAAGTTTGAAACAACATATAAGCCATCTATTCAGTTCTTTAGCACGCTAGGAGCTCATCTGAGGTTGCAAATTCAAACACCTATAAGGGACACTGACTACAAGAATTTATACAGATATATAACCCTAGCATCTTATTACCAAAAGAGGGGGGTCCCGAGTGGCTGAGTAGTTTTTAGCACAACGTTACGGATCACTGCCATCTCACCTCTGCGAGAGTTCGGCCACGGTAAGTATGAGCTTGCTAGTAGTTTTTCGTGCGTCGGTGGTTCATTCCGAAGTTTTCCCAGGTTCTTATTCCACCATTTATACTGGCCGTCATGTATAACCTATTTTGTGCTGAAAATGGCGGTAAACCCTACAAAAGCATCAACAACACAGTGGAGTGTACTAAGGTTGCAGAAAAATTTAATCTATTCGTTTAAATGCACCATACAGACTTGCCAAGAATGCTGGAAAAATTGATTTTTCAAATACGAATCCAGAGCTTATTGATTTGGAATTATCCTTAGCTTAGACTTAGCTAAGAATGCATAGAAAAGCTTAAAAAATAACTGTTTGACATTAAGAATACCTAAAAACCGTGAACACTTCGCCAATGATAGCGAATCTAGCAGTTAGAAAATATATATATATATATATATATATATATATATATATATATATATATATATATATATATATATATATATATATATATATATATATAAGGTGTGTGTGTTACTTTCATTGACTACCAATAAATCGATAAATTTTGGGAAAGAAACTATAAGCATGTTGTTTCAGTCGTACCCAGTATCAGCTTTTGTGTATGACAAAAGAAGCGAGAAACAAACGTATATTCATGTACAATGATGGTAAGACACTGCAGTGTTCCATATATAAGATGGATTTTGTAAAGTATTGAGCTAAATGTAATCAAAATAACGATGAAATACATCGAGAAACGTCATCCATGACGATGTTTTGGCAGTAAAGTTAAAGATGATGGTTATTAACTCTTTCCTAGGTGAGCTTGTGAAGTGCTTCCTCGGGATTCACGTCTGTTGCAAAATTTAAATATACAAAATTTGAAGAAAAAAATATATTTAGCCAAGGTTCTTGGTATGCGTGTTGATGAATGCCTTTAAAGCTGATGATATATTTTTCACAATAACAATATAAGCAGTAAACGAAAAATTTCTATGATATTTACATACTTTAGGTTCACATTATTACATTCGTAAAACATTAGATAAAGCACGAGTTAAATGTCAGTTTGGTACTTGTATTTAATGTTCCATTTCTTCTGCCAAAAACGACATGATGGACCTTGAAGTAGCGCTAAAGAAACATGAGAAATTATTTTGGTGCATTTTATGAAGTAAATAAATAAATATTTCAAACTGAATGAACGAAGCATAAGAAATATGGGTTACGATGTCTTACTTTCTGAGTTGTAGCATTCGTCGAAATGTATCAATTCAACAGTGGTGATATGAGCTCCTGGGCCCCATATGTGGACGAAAATTTATAGTCCTATGTTAATATGGACAACCGGATTAACACTTAGGGTAAATGGTATCTTCGCTAGCAAAGTTTCTGATGTGTTAACCCTATCTACATCTTGGTCGATCGTACTGATATTTATGAACCTTCTCCTAGTGACATATCTTGGATTTCATGAGTTGATTCTCTTAGTATGTAACTAACTAACCAATAGCGTGTAACAGCCGTGCATTGTACGTTGGCTAAAAATAACTTTGAAATGAATACTTTGTAACTTAAACATAAAAAATGACTATATACCAATGAGAAGCCATTACATACCAAATTGTCCCACACCCTTTTAGGTTGTTCGTAGTGGGAAATAAACCAATTTAAGAATTATCACTGCTATCAATGTTTTTTTAATGACATGGACTGAGGATAACTTCACTAAAACCAATAACGAATGTATAGGCCTATTATTTTAGCAAAACCATAACTTGCAAATGTTTTTTTTTTCACATAATTTTTTTTTGCGTGTTCATTCAACGGCATCCTAAAAGAACAACATATTATAGCACGCAGTCAGAACAGGAAAATGGTGCATATGGCATGTGTGCCTTGGATTTTTATCATAGGTTTAACAATTTTAGTCATATCGCTACGATGTCTGTATGTGTGACAGTTTATCGTAATGTCTAGCACTGGTGCATAATGCCGCAGACATGTGAGATGATGTCCCACCCAGTCACATCATCCTCACACCAGGCCAACCAGTCCTGATGATACCAACCTCTTAATGCTGAGCGCCAAGCGAAGCAGCTGTTAGCACCATTTTTTAAAAAAAGTCTTTGGTATGACTCGGCCGGGGTTTTTGGCGGAAACTTTAACCACCAAGCTACACAAACCTCTTAATGCTCAGCGCCAATCAAGAGCTGTTAGTACCATTTTTTAAAGTCTTTGGTATGACTAGGCCGGGGATCGATCGAACCCACGGCTTCCCGCATCAGAGACGGACGCTCTAACCACTAGGCCACCGTAGTGGTCCATGTACGATGTAATTCCATTACAGAAAATAAGCTTAACAACAGTAATAAATGGAGGTTAAATAAGGTCAATTACGATCAAACAATGTAACTTGACTCATCTTTTTACTTTGTTTTAATATTTCAGTGTAAAAAAATAAAGTGTATTTATAGACCTGTATCTTGAATGTGGTATTTTTTACTTTTGTGGAAACAATGTATTTTTTAATTTAAAATAATATTTATTTTCTTGTCAAATTAGTCCAAATCATAATATTTTTGGACTGATGTCAACAACGCCTGGGCCTCGACTATAATTTAAAAAAAGTTTGTCCAGATCCATATTTTCCTCCCATTATGGAGTGAAGTGTAATGGTAAACCAATTATTATAACTCGTATTCCTGAAACTGAAATTGATTGTCAAGGCAACAGCATCTTTTTTGTTTGAGAACCTCCAAACACACACACACACACACACATATATATATATATATATATATATATATATATATATATATATATATATATATATATATATATATATATATATATATATATATATATATATATATATATATATATAAAACACATTAGAATTGAACAATACTGGCCAACAACATATTATACTTACAAACTTGTGCTTTAACCATGTACATGTTATTATTAAAATTAGAATGTATTTACCACAATTTAATTCTCGGAAGCAAATCCAAATACCATTTACTTGCAGTGGTGGCATGGTGGCATTGAACACTGATACAGATAAAATTTAGGTCAAACGAAAAATAGAAACATCCCATTTTTATTTTCATTTTGAGCCATCATCTTAAGAGACAAAGTTCAAGCCCAAGACTTTATGTTCAACAGCCATTAGTAACAGACCTTTATAACATTTCTTTTACAAATAAAAAAACTTTAATTCATTAACATTAATATAATATTCAGGTTAGAAATTAAATGTGTTATTGTTATTGTAGGGTTTAACACCATTTTCAGCACAAGATATACTATACAAAGTGGTGGAAGAACCGGGAAAACCCCAGAAAGAACCACCGACCCAGGAGAAGATATTTACAAGCTTTCTTACCAATCTGATAAACGTCTTTCTTATTCACAGTCTGATGTACACGTCTTTCCTATTCGTAGTCTGATATACGTCTTTCCTTCTTTCCTATTCACAGTCTGATATATAATATATAGAGGATCTCAAAGGGTAATGATTTAAAATTGAATTTATGAAACAAGTTGAATAATGTCCAGCTCGCAAGGTTCGCAAAAGCTGGACATTATTCAACGAGTTTCATAAATTTACTATTAAAACGTTACCCATTTGAAAATCTTTTTATCACAGTTTTTATTTGAGAGCGAATTATTTCGTTCATTCTGATGATAAATGAACAAATATACGGCATCTAGACATGTACACAAAGTGATTAGACTAAGTGAACAGTGGCACTATCTTTGCAGATGGACATAAACTGATAAACTTTATATCAACAGTATCTTTCCTTTTCCTTACTGAAATGCATATTTGCCGATGGTGCAACTTTCATTTGTTGTGCATAAAATTTAGTCCCAAACAAAGCTGAACTAGTAAAGGTATCTTGTACTGTTTTGCAAACTATACATTAAAGAAAAAGCTTCCATACGAAGAAACAGAACATTTTATAACAAAAAAAAAAATAATTTTTCAAAACAGAATGATGAATGCGATGTGATGCTGCTTTTTATGTGAAATAGGATTACCGGATGCGAAAATTTCCACATTTACTGCAATGCATTTGTGAGCGGATATCTGCTGCATTTGATTTGGAACAATAGATTGTACATAAGACGTAAATAAATTTCTATTCCATTTGGATTGCATCCCATACATACTGCGTAAAGATGCTGTAATTAGATAAAGTTCTGTCATTTAGGAGACCCATTTATGTCCAGATTCTTCTGTGAACAGAGATGAGTTTATTTACTTCCTTAAGTTAACATTTAAACCACGCGTCTATATACGGTGGATTTTATATATCTATATTACAGATACCCCCCCACACGGCTATCAAACTTGTAGTTTTACGCCATTTTTCTTATGATGATATCGTTAAACATGACGTAACATATCCATATTTAAACAGCCGAGATAATTTTTCCTCAATTTCCTTTCGCAAGTTAAAAAATGGCAGCCAACAATGTCCATTCAAAACAAAACATTCTAGAAGGCTGGGTTACAATAGTTTTTTCCCATGATTCCAGTCAATCAGTAAAGAGGATCGTGCACACTAATTTCATGGGTTTATTAGGACCAATCAGAATCATACAAAGTGATATTTTAACGTGAAGTAATATCAAAAATATGAAACTGCACATACTATGGAAAAACTATACTTACTGTGTGATAATAATGACTTTCATATTCACACAGTCTGAAATACACATCTTTCCTATTCATAATCAAATATACGTCTTTCCTATTTTAACACTAGATCACAGTCTCATACACCTGTCTTTCCTATTCAGTCTGATATACCTGACTTTTCTATTCACATAGTCTGATATACATGTCTTTCCCATTCACACACCAAAACACAAAGAATCAAAGAATGAGTAGCAGGATTTATTATTGTTCTATCTTCAATACTGAAATATTTCCCAATATTTATTACCTGGCTTTGTGCATTAAAATCCACATGTTTTTGGGGTTTTTTTTACTATCATGTTCAATGAGAAATACACAGAGGAAATATTTTGAATCCTAAATATAATACAAAAGAAATGACAGTAAATAAATAATAATGAATGATCTCTGAAACAAATAACATTTAAGATGAAATAAAAATTATACAAATATTTACAAATCAAGTCTGTAATTTTCAATATTTCTGATTACATTTGCCCCTTGATTGGCTTTGGTCTAGTGTTAGTCCAAAGTCTCTTAATTTATTAATTTCGAAAGTTGTAACAATTTTTGTGATATACATTTATAAAGGTATATGTATATGTGAAAATAATGAAACACCCTGAGCAAAGTGCTAAAATCCTAAAGTTTAAATTGTTTCTTGTATCAAGTACATAACATGCCCTTTAAGTTAAAAAACGATTTCCAAACCGATTTTATATTTTTGGCATTATTAAAAAAACACTTGTGCAAAAAAACAAAAGTTTTTTTTTTTTTAAAGTGAGGAAGAATCATGAAGCATTAACTGAATGGAGGCCAACTATCCAGGCTATTCAGTAATATGAACCAACAATTATTTCCCTAAATCAATCTTGCATGTTCAGGAATTAACTCTTAATGACTAAACTACTTATCTGGAAGAAATTGTCCAGTCAGCATTTTGCTGTAACTATACACAGTATTTTATGGTCTAGATAAATCGCCATATCTAATGAATAATAATAAAAATAATTGTACAATTAGAACACTGCTGTAACTATACCATGTATCATATCACCTAGATGAATCCCCACATCACATGAAGAATCTAAAAAATGTACAGTTAGACTTTTGCTTTTACTATACGCTGTATTATATGGTCTAGATAAATCCACATATCTAATGAATATAGAAACTATCGAGGTAGCACTTTGCTTTAACTATACAGTTTTATATGGCCAAGATAGATCGCCATATCTAATGAAGAATCTAGAAATTGTGCTGTAACTATATACTGTTTATGGCCTAGATAAAGCCCCATAGCTAATGAAGAATTAAGAAACTATAGTTAGAACATTGCTGTAGCTATACAATATATCATATGGCATCTCGTGAAGAATCTAACAAATGTACAGTTAGAAGTTTGCTTTAACTATACACTGTATTATATGTCCAAGGTTAATCCCCATATCTAATTAAAAACATAGGAACTGTGCAACAATGATGCTGTAACTATACACTGTATAATATGGCCTAGGTAAATCATCAGATCTAATAAAGAACCTAGAAAATGTCCAGTTTGCACTTTGCTGTAACTATACACCTCGTTACATGGCCCAAGACAAATCCCATATCTAATTAAATTATCTAGAAACTGTGGTATATATTTTCAAAATTCTTTTGATGCTCTTAAGCACCTCATTGGTACCGCTGCATTTACTGTTATTTAATGAAAATGTTCACATCACTTTGATCTGTATTGCTAGCAGTAATATTTTTCTAATTACTGTACTTAAATTTTCCATTACTGACATTTTCTCAATGAATGAAAACCTTGCACTCTGAAACAGGATTCTAACAATTTAAACACATGGTCCTAAATGCAACAAATTCAGAAGTAACACTACAGTAAATATACAAGTCTCTTAAGGGATGGACACTCAACTGACTGAAGAGAATTTCCTGGAATCGAAGATAACAATGTTTCCTCTTTTTAGGCGATGAGTACTGAAACCATCTCTGATATTCTTCAACAATAACGTGGTTTTTAAAATGGTGGAAATACTGGAGGTCAGATATACACGACTTTCATTAAGAACCATGTAGGCATCATATGAAGTCTTATGGTGAAAATGTCCATGTCAGTATCACTGTCCATCAAAATTTTAATGATGGCTAACCATAGTGGCCATACTGAATGTCAGATTGGTACCCGTTTAACGTATGATCAAACAGATGTTGTAAAGAGCCTTCCAGTGAAAACACCATGATCATACGACTTTCCATTCAGGATGAGTATCAATAGTAAGATTTTCAAGATGGCTGCCATAGAGTCCATATTGGATATAAAGTCAAAGGCATTTCATTTATGACAAAACTAAACATTACAAAAAAACAATTTAAAAAAAACCCAGGTCAATGTGACTTCCTGTTTAGGAAAATTACTTATCAGAAGATTATACAAGATGGCTAACATGGTGGTCATATTTGATGCAAGTCTGAGCACCATTTTCATGTAGAACCAAATCAACACGACAGTAAGTCTTTTAGTGAAAACCTATCCATCTAGAAGGAGAAGCAACAACCGTCATTTTTATGGAAGTCTAACACAATAAGTCTACTGGCAAAAAGCCCATGCCAATATAACTTTCCA